TCCGCATGGAACTGGCCAGCATGGTACAGGGAGAGGAGGCCGTGGTGGCAGTCAGGACCCCACGTGATCACACACTGTGATGTGCCCAGCTCACTTGTGTGACAGCCTCCTTCCTTTAGCTCTGTGTGTTGGTTAGGTTGGTTATAGGTTCCCTCCCAAAGTGAACATCCTTTTCCCCTAAACCAGGAATTCAAAGTAATACATACTGCAAATGCTGTCTTTTAAGTATTAAGATATTTCTTAAGTATCTAAGAAGTATTTAAGATATTTCTTAAGTATTTAAGTATTTAAGATATTTCTTAAGTATTAAGTTTGAAATAGTACCCTAAATTAGGCAGCACTTTTAAACCTTTTTCCTTAGGCTAGGTAGTGTTTCTGAGCCCAAGTCGTATAAACAGATGCCTTTGACAACAGTTTGCAGTGCCTGGAGCCCCTAAATGAGGGCACAGCTGCTCCCGGGGCCAGGAGAGGTGGGAGCCGGCTCAGCCTCTGATGAGGCGAAGGACTCCTGGCTGGCACTTCACTCGGTGGCTACGGGACCTCTGGCGCAGCCCTGGAATGATGTACCTATCCTATCATGATTTTTCCTGTAGGCTTCAAAACACACAGGGAAGTTGAAAAACCTTAGGTAGTATCGTCTCTAAATAAGAGCCAAGTCAATGTCAAAGTTGTTGTCATCAGGGGAACAGATTTTACCACCCTTGTGAAGAGAAGGCTGTCACCATTTTTCTGATGAAAAGCGTCGTGTGGAACGCAGGTAGAAGGGTCGGCTGGTGATTCAGAGCTTGCTTTGAGAAAGACTCTGCCCCTGCGTTCCTCCAAAGAGGAGCGGGAAGGTGCTTGGTCGTCCTAAGCAGCTCTCTTGCCACCCCCAAGAAGTGGCTCTATGGGCTCCTTGAACATAGGCACATCTCAGCCCCTGTAGAAGGAAGCAGAAGGGGCCCTTGTCCACATAGTAAAACAGAAACAAAAACAACCCTGCTTAGGCGTCTGTCTGCACACGCAGCTGCTCCTCATCCGTAGATAGGATGAAATTATTCTCGAGCAGGGATAACCTTAGCGTAACCTTATAACCCTGAGAACTTGTAAAAAGGTGTTTTTTTTTGTCACTGTCATTGCTTTTCCAGACAGCATAGTTTCAGGAATAAAATCTTTTCGTTTAATCTTTTTATGAATTCATAAAGAAAGCGTGTGTGCACTCGCATAGACGGCGAGGCGCACGCGAACCAAGTTCTCGCGCTGCTGCTGTGAACTGGAAAACCCCAGCCAGAGGCCCACGCTGCCCGGCCGCGTCTCTCGTGCTGCCACGTGCACACGCCGCTGGGCTACCGGATCCTCACACACGCCCAGCCGCACCTGGGATCGTCTGTCCTTTGCTTTTAAAGCAGCGTTGGTGGCAGAGATCGGCCCGATAGACTTCCCAGTTGTCTGCGTATGTGTGGGGACTGCTTTCACCTCTCTAAAAAGACAAGGTGTTCACAGGTGGGTGGCTGCACCCCTAGAACCCCTGGGGCCAGGAGAGCCCTGTCACCTGTTGGGCAGTGGCAGGGGGCGAGCCTGTGCTCTGCTGAGTGCCTGGGCGTGGCCACTGCAGTGGGGACAGCCGGAGAGGAGACGGTCCTATGCCGGGAAGGCCTGCCAAAGCCCCTCACCCCTCAGCTGGAGAGCCTCCGTGGGCCACCGTGCAGGGGACATGTGCTCAGTAGACACAAGTCCCCTCTTCTCCTTGACTCACATGGCAGTCTGAGGGGTTTCTTGATGGGATAGGCACTTCTACTTTTTCATCAATAAGGACGCTGAGGACTCAAAAGTGGGGCTTGCCCAGCATCTCGTGGACGGTGGGGGCAGAGGCTGGACTGCAGCCGGGTCTTGAGTCTCGTAGTGCTTTTCGCCGTCACCACACATGCGTGTGAACATACCCCAGCCCAGTCTGCCTGTCGCAGCCACCGAGAATGCGGTCTTTTAATGTTTATAGCCGTCAGTAACGACGTACCAACTGAAATATAACCACCCACGTGACTCTCTCAGATACAGTCTACAAAAACACATCTGTAACTACTCCCCCCCTTTTAGGGAACCCGCGTTCCCCTGGACCCCAGGTAATCCTCACACACTCCCTCTGGCAGCAGCTCCGCAGTTAAATGTGCAAAAGAAAGGTAGGTTTGCGGGACTTGAGCACTTAATTGTGGTACCTTAAAAAGTAGATTTGCTATGAAAAATCTGAGCTGACATTCACTTTTCAAAAGTTAATCTTACCAGAATTGTTCTTGAATTCTGATTTTCTAAAATGGCAAGATAACTTTATTTTTAAAATCTCGTTATTTTAACACTGCATTGTTAGGTGTGATTTTCGATATCCCAGCAGAGCAAAGCTGTAGTCTTACCAGATGCCATTTAACTTATGATGCATTTTATCAGATCTTATTTTATACAGTATATGCAAGCTTAATATAGATCCTATAGCCCTGAAACTGTTAGTTTTCAGGACTGTAGAATTATATTGTCTGAGCTTGTGGTGCAAATCCCAGGACAGAGATTTCAAATAAAGCTCTGAGTAGTATTATAAGCTTTTTTAGCTCAGTTAGTAGAAGGCCTTCACGATGCTCGAGTCCTGGAGAGACAGCCAGCCGCCTTGTGGCCGCACTGTACTGTTTGCCATTAGGCTTTTCGAGCATGACTGAACAGTGTTGGAGTGTCCTCAGTAATGGATCATAAAATTGGCTTGTTGTAAACATGACCTAAGACATTTTGACAAATCAGGTTGCATTCTGATTGGTGCCTAAGATCCACATCTGTTTTCTCATCCTTTGAAATTTTAGCCAGAAATGAACGTCTTCTGACAGGCATTACCAGAAGTATGCTCGTGTTCATAGTTAAGGATAAAAACAGATGAATATGTATATCCAAGGAGAATCATTAGTACTTATATATGCTTTGAACTATTTCAAGTATGAATAATTTCGTATTATATGTGTCTACATGTCTAGTTGGAGGCTTAGTACGTCTTACGTGGTTCATCCAACTTCTGCAACGAGATTAATGTCAAAACAAAAGACAGGCAATTCTACTTGAAGAGCTCAGCAGTCTGGGAGTTCTCACTGCAGGCATCTGGCGGGGACTCAGCTAGGCTCCGTGTGCTACTGGACGCATTTTCCCAACGCATCTCTGGCTCATCCCGGGCTTCTCCCCTGGAACACGCTCCTTCCAGGCCCCCATTACGACCCACTTCTTCACTGAAGCCTCCCCGGACAGCTCATTCCAAAGTGACACTTCTGTTCGTTTAACATGTATTAAGCTTTTCATTTGATCCACACGCGCGTTTGTGGGGTGCTGGACCGCGTTAGGTGGTGCTTTGGAGTTTCCAACTTTGGTGAGTCTTGCCTCCTCCTGTAGGAACTGTCGTCTTCCACTTCTTTGGAGACAAAGCAGGCCCTCAGTTGATACCACTGAATTGAATTGAAAGACCAGCCAGAAGATCAGCATTGAGTTTTAGTGCCGATTATTTATTTCCGTCATATGAAGACAATGTGTTGGAGGCTGGGAGGGGATAGAACAGAGAGGGTGGGCAAGGGTGGCCTGTTTTTCCTTTGAGGCACTTCAGTTTGTCGGGGGACAGCTCATATAAAAAGCATACATGAAGCCACCAAGGTTGACCAGCAGTCTTGTGTAAGTTGTCTCTGTTCGGAAATATTGTGCAAAGAACGTGAATTAAGTGAGCATTGACAGATGCTTCTGACAAGTTCGGCTTCTTACCTAAGACACAGATGGAGAGGTCAGGCACGAAGGCATTTAAGCCGAACAAAGGAGAATTTTAGTGGAGAGTGATAACGTTGTCAGATATTGATGGTGTTAGTCATTTGTGTTGGGACTAAGCGGTTTCGTTACTCAGTAATTTCAGGGCAACGGAAGCGAGCTGAACGTTTACTGTGCACCGGCCACTGAGCTGGGCACCTGGGGGCAATGGCAAAGAAAGAGGCGGCCCTCGCCCTTGCCGGGCTGACAGCCTAGTGGGTGGGGATGTCCGTGGTGGAATGGAAAGAAAGTGGAGGGACACCTTGAGTGTAATCTGCCACTGCTCCAGCAGCTGTGGAAGCCTCTAGGGGGACTCGAACCCACCAGCGGAGGAAGGGGCACGCAATGGGCTGTCTTTGAGGTGTCATCCCACCGTGCTTGAGCCTAAGTAGGAACTTGCACTACAGGCTGGCAGTCACCCAGATGTTTCTGCTCTCCCTTGTCTGAGTGTGTGAGTCCACTGCCCTGCCTGGAGTGAGCACTTCTTGGCCCACGTTCCCTTGGTCTGGCCATGGCTCCTCACTGCTAAGACCCAGAGCTGGCTCAGCCCTTTCCTCTCACCCTCCCCAGGCTTTGTTGTGTCCCCCTCCCTGCTGGGCCCTCTGCTGGGCTCTGCTCCTGCAGTGGAAGGATCGTATCTTTCTCACTGTCTGTCTCTGCTGCATTCCCAGCATCAGCTCAAACTGCTTCACGTGTGACTCTGCTCCTTGGTCCAAGACCGCAGAGCCGAATGCTTAGATCTGAGGGCAGCAGCCCAGGCCATTGTGGCCAAGACGTCCTAAAACTGCTGTTAGGCCACCATTCCTGAAACTCCCAGGGCTGTTTTTGTATGGAAGAAACATGGAAAGTTGGACTAGGCCCACTGAGGGGACCGGGTGGACCAGATGAGGACGTCCCCTCTTTGTGCTCTTGAGAAAGCTATAACTCCCTGACCTTATAGCAACCTCACCTTCCCTGCAGAGGGTTAGCCCTGAGCCTTGCCTCTCTGCTTTCAGTACTGAAGCAGCATCTAGCAGGTGTTATGACAATGGGACGCATCCTCCTTAATCACATCTTAAATGACAGCCAGAGCGGTTTGTGGTGAATGAAACTGTTTGCCCTACACATATGCCCCTCTGGGATTTCTGCTGGGCACAGAGTCCTTGGTGGGCAGCTGGGAATAATGGGAGTGGCCTGTGCTTTATTCTCCACCTCTTGTCGTCTTTCAGAGTGCTGAGCAGATAGCTGCACTGTGTAGGAGTTTTAACGACACTGAGGCCAACGGCATGGAAGGACCCAGGGAGAGTCAGGACCCACCTCCGAGGCCTCTGGCCCGCCACCTCTCCGATGCAGACCGCCTCCGAAAAGTCATCCAGGAGCTCGTGGACACGGAGAAATCTTATGTGAAGGTAAAAGGAAACGCTGGGCATTCTTTCCTTTCTGCTGATGGTGAGTCGTATGTTAGCAGAGGTCCCCAGATCACCTCTGCCAGGGACACCTGCCACTCGTAGGTAGACGCCTGCTCCCTGAAGCAGGGAATTATTACAGGGAAGGAAAGGGAGGGTGAGAGGGTGGAAGAGCTGAGAGGGTTTGGAAAAAAATCAGATTCTTGGCTCATTTTGTTACCAAGGTACCTTTCACTATGGAAACAGATGTTCTAGTTTGTCGTTTGCAATCTGTGGGAAGGCAGCAGAGGCTCCCTTGGTTTAGTAAAAGGGGGGGCAGAGATCGTTTTAGGTGATGAAGGCCACCCTGCCTGATGGCGGTCATCGTGCAGGACAGAGGCCCACGCCTGGTGTGGGGGTCATCACACGGGAGTGTTCTCACACCGTTGTAAGGGGGTAGTTGCCAAGCACTGTACGTACCCAAAGAGTTCACTTATTTATCTCATGGGCCCCCAGTTAGCAGTTTGAGGAAATTTTAAGAATAACACAGGAACCTGGGAAGGCAGAGTGCTTTTGCCTTAAGTGCCTGCAGACGCTGCAGAACTATTTTAAGCTCACTCCGTTTGTCAGTTCCTGAAGCAGGGTGGCGCAGGGTGGGCTGAGAGTCCAGGGCTGGCTCTGCCTCATTCTGGCGGCATGGCCGGGGATGGTCCCCTTCGACCACCCCAAATGAAGGGTCTGAGACCATCAGTCCCCTTGTTCTCTGCGGGCTTCAGCTCTGACATGCTGAGTCCACAGGTTAAGGCGTGGCACACACGCGTGGCTAGTACTTTCTTCACGGGTCACATCTGAGCCTCCCCTACCCAGGCCTTACAGGTAGCCTGGGAGAGCTGCCCAAAGTCCCTTCTTGTGGTCCTGGAGGGCGAGACAGAAAAGTTCGAGAGATGACAGTTTAATTTTATTTTCCATTATGTCTTGTCCTGCATCCAATATCCAGAGTGCCCCGACTAGATTTCTGAATAATCCTGTGTATCCGCAGTGACCTTTTCCCAGTAGCTCTGTGAACTGTGGATGTTTTGAGGCATCAGAGCCGTTCTGACATCTTGAGAATAGTCACGGAGCTCTCACCTGCAGAGTCGGGGGCAGAGCTCATCGGAGAATCTAACTAAGCCCCTTTCTGTTATTAGTGGTCTTGCGGTTTATTATTAGACCCCCCTGCCCTGGGAGGCTTTGTTTTGGTGACGTGCTGGCAGAGAACTGAGATGGGCGTCGTGGGTGATGCAGACAAGGAAGTCCGACCCTCCCTTCTCTCTGCAAGAAACCTGCACTTTGTTTTCTTAGGGCCCCCAGAGCTGCAGCTCTTTGCCACCCCAGCTCAGCGCGGACCCGCTCCCGCGGTGCAGTAAGTCCTCCTGGGCAGCACTAGCCTGGACCAGAGTGACTGTGGGCCCTGCCACTGGCTCTGACAAAATCACCTGCACTTGGCACCTGTTGTGATTCACACCCCTCCCTCCCCCCCACTATTTTTTAAATTTCTTCTTTGTTGCTGACATTTAACAAGTAATTTTACTTGTTGTCACCCTTTAACCTAACCTGGGTCCCTGCATGCTTCTGGAGACTTTCAGTATTTGTGTGTTCTGGGAGAGATGACCCAGCAACCTCTCACACCTCCCCTTCCCTGAGCGGCGAAGGAGGCAAGGCCAGGGAGGTTCACTGGGAAACGCCGCCAGCATCCCAGGCCCGACCCTGCTCTCAGAACCGACCCCAGCAGGTTCTGGGGGTGCCTTGGGCTTTACAAAGTTCTCTGAGACAGATTTCCCTGTTGTAAAACGAGGAAGTCATTCTAGTTGACTTTGTAGGCAAATACTTCTATTAAGAGTGTTCTAGGACTCAAAGTTCTTCAGAATAAATGAAACAAGAGAAATCTTTTCTATCACTAAAGTATATCATGGTCTTAGCTTAAAATTATTAACATTAAATTAAAAAAAATCTTCATCTAACGGGTTTTGTAAATGCAATCAACTCCCACTCTACTGTACTGCTGGAGCCTAGTTTACTAGAGACCCACATATGGCTTAGATTTTAAACATTATATCTGTTACTCTTTGGAGATTTTTCTTGCATTTGAATATGGGAATTTGGGATTCTGTTAATGTGTCATCCTGGAATTGAGGAGCTCCCCAGATCTTGTCTTGCCCCTGCTAGCACCATGTTGGGGCCGTCACTGTGCTCCCACCTGACAGTGCCTGGCCAGACCTCCTTCCCTTGAAGAAAGTGTCTGCTTCTGTCAAGGAGACACTTAACTAAGCAGAGTAAGTGACCAAGCTATAAAGGAAGATGTGGACTCCAGCTGTTGACCGTATTGTGGTATTAACCTGCTTGAATTAGGTGAGCAATAATAACTACATTTAGGGTCAAGAATTTCAACAAGACGTAAACTTCATTATTAATGGGAATCTTTGGAGCTGCTGCCAGGGTTGCTGGAGTCTCATGGGTATTTCGGAGAGTTGAGCGTTAAGGAGACTTTCTTCTTTTGTCTTTCAGGATCTGAGCTGCCTCTTTGAATTGTACTTGGAGCCACTTCAGAGTGAGACCTTTCTTACCCAAGACGAGGTAAATAATAATCACTGTCCGTCTGTCCAGTGATCCATAGGTTTGTCTCCCTTGGCCTTTTAGCAGGCCTCCTCAGAGATTCTCTCTACTGATCCCAGAAGGGCATCCAAGACTTAAGGGTCTCCAGAGTCCCAGGCGTGCCCTCCTCCTAAGCCATTTATGTGGCCTCTGTGGCGAAAAGTTTACAAAGGCAAAAGGATGGTCGTGCTCTTTTTGTAGGTGTGTCCAAAAATGACACTTTGATACATAACATTTTTAATGTTAAATCACATAATTAGTTCTTTTCTAATAATACACGTTTTTCCCAATTTGAATTCTGAGAATTTTACATCTTGTAAGAATACTTAAAAAGTTATTCTAGAAACATAGAAAGTTTCATACTTCCAGCCCTTATAATTCTATGTATAAACTATATCCCATAATGACCATGCTGTCTTCTTAAAGGATTTACTTCTGTCTACTTCTTGGTGAATGACTTCTTTGTGGGCTTAAGAGTTAGCGTGGTATCTAGGTCTTCCTGGCTAATACCCTCTTTTCAAATCCTGATCTTCATACAGATGGAGTCACTTTTTGGAAGTTTGCCAGAGATGCTTGAGTTTCAAAAGGTGTTTCTGGAGACTCTGGAGGATGGGATTTCAGCATCATCTGACTTTAACATACTGGAAACTCCCTCGCAGTTTAGAGTGAGTATTTAGGCCTAAAAGCAAGGTGCCAAATTTTTCCTTGTCCCTTGACTGTTGTCAGGATAACTTGAGAGCTTCCATAGCACTGCTGTCCTGTGACAGTGGACAAGAAGAGTGTATATATATTTTTTCCTGGTGTAAATGCTTCTGGTCGTCAGAAGTCTGGGCAGCATCACCAGCCTGGCTGCTGACTGTGCTCGAGCTCTGCACTCACCTGTTCTGAAGGGTGTGTGGGGTGACTGCTTCTGAGGCCAGAGCACCTACCCCACGTCTGATGCTTCATCTCTTTGGTCATGTGAACCTGGGATGAGGAGCGCAGGTTTCAGGTTGCTCTGATGGAGCCCTCTCTTCTATGAAGCATCAGTGTAAGCTGCAGTGCCCGGCAGGAAGCCCTCCAGGGAAGAAAATGTGGAAGGCAGTAGCATGGGGACCTGAACTCATACAGACAGCGGCATTTGCCCCAAGTAACTGAGAGTCAGCTTAATTAACTTCTCCGATCGTTTATATCCCACCTTGTCAGATGTATTTTTATAGAACTTCCTTTCTGGTCCTTTGTACACCGTGTCAGTAGCCTCTGTTTCCAGAAACTTTTTAGTGAAGCTAAAGATCTGCTAGGGGAGAGCCTGGGCTGTTCCCCATCTCCTGTGAGGATGGAGCAGGCCTGAGCATCTTGGAGGCCTTAGTGCTGTGGAGTCTGACAAAAGCCACGCAGCTGTCAAATGTCCAGCCATAGGCAGCTCACATTGACTAAGCCCTATCTGATTTGACTTTCTCCTCTCCCCTTCCAGAAATTACTGTTTTCCCTTGGAGGCTCTTTTCTTTATTATGCGGACCACTTTAAACTGTACAGTGGATTCTGTGCTAATCATATTAAAGTACAGAAGGTTCTAGAGCGAGGTAAGTTGCTCATGCTTTTTATAGCTGTGCTTTTTGTATTTTTAACTGTTAATAAAGGGTAAATCTGTATGTAACAAGTAAGGGTAAGTGCAATTGTGATGTATTATGCTCCATTCTCAACCTTGAAAGTAGCGGATATTGAAGGGAAAGGTTTCCATTTATTTCAATTTATTGGCAGCAGTGAACATGTATGCCTAAGAGCAGAGGTGCTGCTTGTCCGTGTGTCACTTTGCTGTTAAATTACATCTAGATTCTTTTCTTGCAAAATTACTTTCTCTAAAAACTTGCAACCATATTCCCTAGATGGGGGTAGAAAGAAATGCATGTCATTTTTTTTTTCCTGATTAAGCATCTTAAGCCTGAGGAGCCACTATAAATAAACTACCACCAAACAACCCCCACCAAACATACAAGAAGTGTGCTAAAATTAAAGTCTCTTTGGTGGAACTGAGAAAAACTCATTTTCCAGAGGTTGCTCTTCAATGTTTCCTTCTCTCCGTAGTGTCGCGGAGGCGGGTAGAGGTGTATCCTGACATGCATGGTGTTAATCCATTCCCACTGCAGCTTTGCCATTTGGTTTTAATCCAGAACTTCATAGTATCTCTTCATAGAAGAAAAGCCTCAAGTTTAAAAAAATTGGAGTCTGATGGTGCTTCAAGTTAATGAGACCCAGCCAAAATCCATCTTTTCTAGTTGCTTTCAACAGAGTTGACTCCATTGGCATTTCTTCCCACAGACACCTTCTTAATGATAGTCAATAGCCAAATAAAAGGCTACCAGTGGCTTGCTCAGTTCCTCCTTTGTCATAAAGATGAAGAATCATTTCACCTTCCACTTGGTTTGGTAATCACATTCAAAATGGTGCTGTATCTCCAGATGTTGTAGATTTTGCCCTGATAACAGAACCCCCAATAAGGGTGTATCTCCATCCAAGCTAGCCACACTTCCGACAGCTGGGCAACATTTCCAACTGCTGGAATCCGCAGTGGCACCTGGCGTATCCAGTGGCACCCAAACTGAAGGCACCTGTATTGCCGCATTCCTGTATTGCCGCCCTCGTGGCGCTCACACTGGACAGGAAGGCGGTTTTCTCTGCTAAAGAGGGTCCTAAAGCCACCTGGTGGAAGGGAGCTGTGGCTCTGGGTGCAATGAAGGCCGAGTCTGCTTGGAGCTGTGGAGGGGAAGGCTGCGGGCTATGGTGAAATAATAAATCATCTTATTTTAAATGAAAAAAAAAAAAAAAAAACTGCTTTTCAAATAGCCCTTCAGTGTATAGAATAAGAATAAGCAACAACCAGTGCTAGACCAGTGGGAACAACACTGATTTATTTTTCCATATGAATCTTTTGTGGGATACAGTGCAGGCTCTGTATAACATAGTTCTGTGGCTTTATGAGTTGTTTGAACCTCGCTTTCTAGGCCACCCATCACAGTCTCTCTCATGGGTATGCATGAGATAGATATGTCTTTAAAGCCAGACCTTTAAAGTCGGTGTGAGGGTTGCATTCCATCCCGGTAAGCTCCGTAGCTCGAGGGATTTGTCAGCGGCGATGTGGATCCCATGCTTACAGCTGACTGCCTGACCCACTGATGTGCTGGGGTTTTTATTAATGAATGGCATTAGGAGGACTAGGAAATGGATGCGGTATGACTGCTAAAAGAGAAGTGAAGAATTTAATTCATCCCACATCTTCTAAGGGTCTTTTATTCATCTGCTTACAGCTAAGACCGATAAAGCCTTCAAGGCTTTTCTGGATGCCCGGAACCCCACCAAGCAGCACTCCTCCACGCTGGAGTCCTACCTCATCAAGCCAGTTCAGAGAGTGCTCAAGTACCCTCTGCTGCTCAAGGAGCTCGTGTCCCTGACGGACCACGAAAGTGAGGAACACTATCACCTGACAGGTGAGGCCACTGATCCCTGCCTCCTGCATGAAGTGTGGGCTGCCTGCCACGCCCTGGGCCTGTGAGCCTCTTCCGCACTAGTGGCGCATTCGGCATCATTTTTCAGTTCTGTGATTGTTAATCTTAGATTTAATTTTATGTGAAAATAGCTAGATATATGGCCATTCCTTTAGAGTCTACATATGGTTCGGTAAAAATTATCCCTTTGGAGTAGCCTTAAACTCCTCTGGAGGGATGATTCTACATTTTTAAATGAAAGAAATTACCTCAGGTTACTTGGCTAGTAAACAGTGCTGCCAGAACCCCAAATCAGGCCTGTTTTGCTGCCACTTTGTGAAGTTTGGTAATGTTTGCTGCCCATGTGCTGCTGATCAAATTTGCTGGGTGAGGCTCCACCTTGTGGAGATCTCTGAGCAGAGCTCGACCCTGAAACCAGATTCCCAATGACAGATTATGCTTCAAAGTTGATGCTGATGTGTTATTGTTTGTAACTGCAGATATTACTGGCCTGAGCCACAATTTGTCAAAAACACAAAGCCTTGTGGTTTGATGGTAAATAGAGTATACTTAAAAAGATGCCTTATTTGGATTAGAGAGAAACAGTGATTTGTTCTCCATATAGCAAAACTAGGAGATTAGGTTAAACCTTAAGTAATAAAATTCCTGGGGAGAGAAATAGACTTATGAACACATTTTAGTATTACTGAATAATGAATACTGAGAAGAGTATAAATTAAAGTGGCTCTTTTTCCACGACAAGCATACTTTGGTATCATAAACAACAAAAGAGAAAGAATTTTTTTATATCACAGTAAATGATATAAATTATGTTCAACATTCATACTACATAAAAAACTCATTTTGCATTAAGATCTTTAAAATGGTTCTGTCAAATTTCCTTCCACACCTCTCTCCAGACTGAATTAAAATATTAAGAGAATAAAGTATGAAAAGAACTGAATTTGAAAAGTTGACCTGAAATTGTTTTTTGATTTCATCCCTGGTGTGCCCTCATAAAAAGTTATAAACAGATACCATGTATGAACGCTCACAGGTGATCTGTCAATCAGTTGTTCACAGGGGCATTTGTACATTCTATTTACACGTGGATCTCGGTTCCCGGGAAGAGAGTCAACGTGGAGAGCTGGTGCCTTGGGGCCAGTCAGTCTGGGGTTTGAATTCTGGCTCTACTCCTTTTTTTCTTCTCTGGAACTCTGGCAAAATACCCTGCACCTCACCTTCCTCATCCATATTATGGGACTCATTAGTCATGGAGTTACTGTGAGGATTAAATGAGATTATTCATGTAAATCACCTATTGTGCTACAGGACAAGTAGAAAGTGCTCAGTAAGTAGTGGCTGTTATATTAGTGACACTTTTCACTTACGCTCGCCTCATTTCCAAGAGAATTCAAGGTGGAAGGTAATTTTGCTGTTCAAGATTACAATGGGCTTTGGTGAGCAAGACCTGAATAATGTTGCGGTTAGTAAGTACTGGTCTCAAATCCTGGCTTGAATCTTGAGTCCTTTCATTACTGCTGTTGGATGGGATGTAAAACAAACAACTATAAAATAAATATGATTTCATATTTTGCAGAAGCACTAAAGGCCATGGAAAAAGTAGCGAGCCACATCAATGAGATGCAGAAGATCTATGAGGACTATGGGACTGTGTTCGACCAGCTGGTAGCAGAGCAGAGTGGGACGGAGAAGGAGGTCTGTGAGGCCCTTGGGCTGAGGCCCGCTGCATGTGTTACTGGGTGTGTAGGTGACCTTACGGAGTAGGCTGCCCTGTTAGGACTGTCTTGGAGGAGAAAATGCCTAAAAGTGTCATGACATTCATGTGTATTACTAACTACACAATTTACATATGAATGTACATTGGTCAAAAAATGTAACCTTATGTTGTGACAATATCATACAAAGAAAACTAGAAAGAAGTGTCACTGAGCTCCTCCCCTGCCCCTCTCTCCTTTCCCTTGGGGCATGAGGTGTGACCCTGGGCTGGGGCTGGGACATAGCCTGGAAGGTGGGGCTGGCAGAGGGCTGGAGAAAGGAAGTGGGAACCAGTATATGGAGATAAGTCTAGGGCTTTTCCTTTTTTATTTTTCTCTTTTTAACATCAAACACTGGTGCTTACCTGCTTGCTTATAAAACTAGAACAAGTAGGATTTGACATGATCTGTAATTTTTTTTGTCTGATTGCTAAATTTAGAATTTGTGCTTTTAAAGCCTCCATACAGGTAGCAACATAGTTTAAACAGAAAATGGCAAGAACAGAAAGGAGCCAGAGTTCAATTTTTACTATGATCAGTTTCAACATTGGCACATTTTTATTAGCAGCCTGAATAAGAGGTAGTGGTGAAGGTACTAGATCCTATGGTAAAAGTTAACAAAGGCACTGTGGCCAAATAAGGACACTGTGGTAGAATTCATGTTATGGAACTAGAGTAGGATATGTGACATGGCTTGCCTACAAGTGTGCACTGAAGCAAAATGCCTTCACTTTTATGTTGTTTATCAAATAATTGATGCTTAACTCCTGTTTTTAAAACCTCCACTATTTAAGGCCCCATGTTTACAGGGACCATAAAAATCAAACAATGTACTTTAACACTGACCATATACGTATGTGATTCACTCTCTTACATGAGACAGTCCATTCTTGGGGTGTCCACATCTTCTTCACCACCTGTTTTTACAATCTAGGTAACAGAACTTTCAATGGGGGAACTTCTGATGCACTCTACGGTTTCCTGGTTGAATCCATTTCTGTCTCTAGGAAAAGCCAGAAAGGACCTTGAGCTCACAGTATTTGGTTAGTATTCCATTCAAAAGAATGTAAACTTAAAAGAGGCTGGCCATGCTGGATACCTACACTAACCCCATCAGCCCAGTAAGTGCTGACTTCCAAGAGTTAGAGGAACTGCTGTGATGGCTGGTGACTTAACACAGCCACTTCCAACTATTTAACCCTTTGCACTCGCTTGCTTTTTTCTTGATTCCTTTATTCTACTCGGGATTTAATTTTTTAAATACCCCAGATTTTACAAAGCACGGCAATAGAATAAAAAACTGGAGTTTCTTTTCAAACAAACTTATTTGGATTTCTTATATTTCAAATTATTGATACATTCAAAGAGTAATTTTAATCTATAATTTTTGCTAACGGTGTCGAGTCACACTCGACATCAGAGTGCAAAGGGTTATTAAAATGCCATGGCTCTGCATACTCATCATCTTGTTCTCCCTTCTGCTGCTTGGCGCAGGCCAAGTGTTACAGGAACAAATCTCCTGGGGGCTATTTTGAAACGTGCTATCTTAATAAGTCTGCTGCATTTCAAGATGTCTTAATTCTGGGAGTCTGGAGAGCAAGTGACAGTGTATTGTCACTGAGATGAACACAATGTCCTCAGCTTTCAATAAAACAAACAAACAAAGAATTAAAGCCAGGATCTACTTCAGATAATAGCTTTTAAATAAGCAGGTATTTCTGCATAGTTCAAATATGAACAAAAGAGAAATACCATTTAGTCACTCATGTGTTGGCATATTGGGGTCTTAGAGATTCGTGAACTTGAAGAGCTTTGTTCTACTAAAACATTCAGCTTTAGTTTAACCTTGGAAGAATTTGTATAAAATAATAAAAGACTTTTCTTTTTTTCCTTTCTCTAGTTTTTAAGAGAGCTGTCATACTGGTTTATAAAGAAAACTGCAAACTGAAAAAGAAATTGGTAAGAATTAATTTTAATTAAAGCTACCTTTTCCTGACTGTATCTTCCTATTAATGTTGAATTGAAAAGCCCACTGAGCACCAAGGCCTCACTGACTGCTATTATTCTGAGGGTAACTAACCAAATCACATACTCAGGGCACTTCTGAGTCTCCTTATGAAAGATGTCTGTTTTAAAAGAATATGTAGACACCCATGTGAGGGCCTACATACAAAGTCAGCTTTTATATCCCTAAAAATGTTTGTTCCATAAACATGGGAGTCTGTGAAACTTAGGTTTAAAATGCTTTTATTACTTTGACTCATACACGCTCACAAAACCAGACCAAAACCAAACCTTGGCTGTAGGGTACCCTAAGCCATTTTACCACTCAGTCATGACATGAGGACCTGGCTGCCATTTTTGCTTGGAGACCCGGAACTCTCTGTTCCCAAACTATGACTCTGGCCTACCCCACACCAAGCACGTGAGGTCTTTGAGAACTGGGTGCGTTCCTGATTCATTTCTGTGCCCTGAACACCCAATGCAGCTGCTCAGAGCCTTGCACATGAGGAGAATGTAAGCTTCCATTCCCTACACAGATGTCCTCCCTGGGTTAGAGCTTCCTTTAACAGTTTTCTTGCTGGGCCTTCATGTTACAGCCCTCAAATTCCCGGCCTGCACACAGCTCTGCTGACCTGGACCCATTTAAATTCCGCTGGTTGATCCCCATCTCCGCGCTTCAAGTCAGACTGGGGAATACAGCAGGTAACTGTTCCGTGTCATTCCAGAGAAAGCATCTTAAGAGATGTACTTGAATTATGCAACGAAAAAGTAGGAAAGGACCTTGGTATAGCTTTTGGTGCATTTTATTTTATAGGCAAGGAAAATGAGGACAAGAGAAGTTGAAACTAAATGCCAGTGGGTGACTTCTCTTTGTCAAATGCCTCTCCATTGTTTCCTTATTTTCCCTATCAACAGTTTTTAACATTTTTCTTTCTGCCTAATATTCTTGACACCCTAAAATTTCTTAAACATAGGTCCACAAATTTAAATTTTTATGAATTTAGAATACACAAGAAAATTCCTTAAGATTAGGTAGTATTGCAAGTGATATAAAAATATAAACAAATCTTTGACCCTGGAAAATGCTGAGAGATCCTTCCAGAATAACCTTGTTTTGGTGACACTGCCTCTGGTGACAGAAAGGGCCAATAGGCTAAGACATGCAGTGACGTTCTGGGCTGTTTAATTTTTGTCATCAGTGCATGTGTCCCTTGCACGGAATGGGCAAAGGAGGACTGAAGAATAGGATTCCTTGAACCTCTTTCCCAGAGAGATGGGGTCCAGAGGTAGGGAGCTTTCTCCCTACCTCTGGACGGATGGATAAAAAAACTTCAGCAGGAAATGTAAAAAGTAAGAATATTTCAGTTGTTGTAACTATTTGTGAAAATCACATATAGAATGAACCACAGAAGGAAATGACAAGAGTCAGAACTGGGAATATATGACTCTCTAAATCGTGAGTTTTAAACTTCACAAGTGTTCTTAAACCACAGCATTTTTGGCAAAGTTGTAGACTCTTGTTTCCTTTCTTTTACACAGGGACAGAAAATAATTCCATATGGGAGCTAATCCATACAAAGTCAGAAATAGAAGGACGGCCAGAAACCATCTTTCAATTGTGTTGCAGGTATTGTTGACTTCTAAAAACTAAAACCAGTGGAAGTAAGAGAGAATCATGTCTCTTAAGTTTATTTTTGGTGCCCTCCTGAATTTTGATGACATCAGGGTCATACCTATCCCCCTAAAAAGACAACTGAGGCTCTAGTAGACGAATACATTGATTAAACACATATCCAGATTGTAGAATGATCAGTTCCCGCCTCCCTCCGTGAGTGAGGAAGCACGGTGTGCAGGTTGGTGGCGGTCTGGCCTAGGTGAGGCAACACAGCACCAACGAGGTGATGTGCCACAGGAGCACACGGGTGGGGGAGGAAGCGTGATGAATACTCTGGATACTACTGCTGTTCTCTCTTCCCCCCAGTGACAGTGAAAGCAAAACCAACATTGTTAAGGTGATTCGTTCCATTCTGAGAGAGAACTTCAGGCGTCACATAAAGTGTGAATTACCGCTGGAGAAAACATGTAAGGATCGCCTGGTGCCTCTTAAGAACAGAGTTCCTGTTTCAGCCAAATTAGGTGAGAATTTTGCTACCCTTGTGTTTATTCAAGAAAACATTATGAGCTTCCTGAAAAGGATATATGTTCCTGTAATACAGCTGTGAGTCATCACTTTGTAAATGATCAGGGGTAACTTTATTTCCTTTTAAGAGACCTAAACGTGCCTCCTGCTCCCACACATTACTTTATAAAATACAACTACCTCCAATCCCAAGTCTCTCCTCTTACCACCAGCTGAAACAGTTCAGACTTACCTTATTTGTTTCTTCCACTAAGATGTACGTGAGTCCAGGGACTCTGTTTTTACTCACTGTATTGTCAGTGCTCAGAACCATGCCAGCCACCTGCAAGGTCAAAACTTAACATAGACAGTCCCCAACTTCTGATGGTTCAACTTAACAATTTTGTGACTTTACCACAGGGCGAAAGTGATACAGAAATTCAGTAGAAACCACACTTTGAGTACCTACACAACTATTCTGTTTTTTACTTTTAATATAGTATTCCATAAAGATGAATGCCCATCTGTAAGCAAATTTAAGGTAAACTGTGCTGTTCAGTAGGTGTAACGTAATCATAAGTAAAAAAGCATGTGAATATGTGTTCTTACCCAATCAGTAAGTCAGCAGGTAAACATTCCAAATCATGCTATTCTTAAAGTTTCTAAAATTTCAGCTTAAGTTTTCAGAATATTACTTCTATATGAACTGACTTTTAGTCTTACAAATTTTCTTTTCAAATCTTCAGATTTACTATATATTTTCTATTTTCTCCATTATCAAAATAAACTGGCCATCAAAAATATGTTGCTTTTGCTGTAGAAACACAAACTGAGAACTCCTTTTTCTTTCAATCCAAGAAAATGGGAATTAAACACACACATAAAAGATTAAACATCTATGATATCAAATCTCAGAAAGTTGGTTAGAAATTCTAGTGGTTTTCATGAGAGATGAACACTTTTCTACTTTTAATTGAGCAGCAAGGGACATAAACAAGGTGAGAAGTTATAATATGGTGTAACCTTGATTAATAAGTAAAAAGTGAAAGAAGCCTAGATTTTAATAGTAATTAACTTTTCAAAGTTTACTCATTGGCAAAAAAAAGAATCATAGCCCTTAGAAAAGTTTCAGCCAAATAACTGAGTTCCAGTAATCTAAAAAAGTTGAATCCCGATAAACAAGTCAAAAATTTCCATGCTTGCAGTATCTATGTTTTTGCCTCAATACCAGGATAGTTAGTATTTGAAGTCAGATCATAAAATAAAACCTTAATTCAGATGTTAAATCTTTGAGGCAAAAATTATATATTGTGTAACCTTTTTCTGTATCATAAGAGGAAATGTGCTTTTCTCATTGCAGCTTCCTCCAGGTCTTTGAAAGTCCTCAAGAATTCCTCCAGCAGTGAGTGGACCAGCGAGACCGGCAAGGGCAACTCGCTGGACTCGGACGAGTGCAGCTTGAGCAGCAGCACCCAGAGCAGTGGCTGCCACACGGCTGAGAGCAGGCAGGACTCCAAGAGTGAGTCTCCTGGGAAATACCCTCACTCAGGCTTGGCAGATTTTGTGGACAATCTCATCAAAGAGAGTGATATTCTGAGCGATGAAGATGATGACTACCATCAGACTCTGAAACGGAGCAGCCCTACCAAAGACATCGAAATTCAATTCCAGAGGCTGAGAATCTCTGAAGACCCCGATGCTCAACCGCCAGCAGAACCCCAGCCTGGCACGGAGGCGGGTGAGGGTCAGAAAGGAGGGAAGCAGCCCAGACTGGTCCGGGGACACTTCTGCCCCATTAAACGAAAAGCAAACAGCACCAAGAGGGACAGAGGAACTCTGCTCAAGGCACAGATTCGTCACCAGTCTCTTGACAGTCATTCTGAAAATGCCAACATGGATCTAAATTCTGTCCTAGAGCGAGAATTCAGCGTCCAGAGTTTAACATCCGTTGTCAATGAGGATTGTTTTTATGAAACAGAGAGCCATGGAAAATCTTAGTGCAGGTCAATCCAGATATGGGTTAAATTGCTCGTTTTAAACTGGTGGAAAAGTGGAAATTGCAGAAAAACTATTCATTATTATTGGGTTTTGTGCAGTATACATTTTCCCACAAAATAGTTGTAAAGATTTAAGTTATTTTAATTTATTGTGGATCAGAAAACTAGACTAAACTGGTCAGAATCTGTAAATTAGTTTATATCCCTTTTGAGCAGGTATCAAAATGATTTAGAATCCTTAAAATAAAATTGCCTTCTAATTATTTTAAGTTATGTGGAAAACGTAAGGCTGGGGAAGTTGTGATTGATAGCTTTTTAAAGGGTCATTTTTTTTCAATTCTCTGGGCATTTTCTTTGAGCTGTTAGTTTTTACTTTATTTAAAGCATATTTAAATTATTTTAATGTGGTTTAGGGGCAAGATGTGCAGATACTTCATTTTTGTAAGGTTGTGATAGATGCTGTTTATACAAAACATGTCATATCTATGCAGTATATGTACTAAAAGAAAGCTTGTACTGTACCTTATTTGATAATTATTTTCTCTACCAAGCTGTACAGTAAAAGGAAAATAAGTCACATCTGGTCATTGGTATTTTTACTGTCATTCTGTAAAGACAAAAGAGTACACATATATAAAAAGCGCCATTGTGAAAAATCAACATCTGGCAGGGTGCCAGCCGCCAGAGCAGTAGCTACAGCCTGTAACTCTCTTTGTCCTTGTCTTTTTCCTGAGTTTTACTTTTATTTTGCTTGAGTTCTTCTCTGAAATTATAAGCAAAGAGGTGCGGGTCTTCATCACACATTTTCCTGTACACATCACAGAGGCTCTTAAAGTGTGAGATGGATAGCTGCCTGGGCCGAAGGGTAGGGTCTATGTCCGCCCACTGTAACAGCCTGCCCGTGCTTTCTAAGCGCTGCGCTTCGGGGAATAACATTCTGAAGGGAAGAGAAAAAAAATCTATTTTACTTAAATTGGGGGACTCATGACACTTCCTTCTTTCCTCATTTGAAAATGACATGGTTCCTGACAACTGACACTTGAGGAGGGAGTGGCAGAGGACGCTGGAGCCTCTTTGGTTACACCACCAGGCACCAAGTATAACCTACCCCTGGAGGCAGTTCTAACCTGACTTGCAAGGTGTGTCCACAAAGGGAAAATATGTTCCAAAGCTAAATCAATACAATATAATCAATCAAAATATGTTCCAAAGCTAAATCAAACTTATTTTTAAGTTTAAAGTAACATCTGCTCAGCTGTATTCTTGTGGAAATATAAGCTTGATATGCCTTATTTTGATATGAAAGTTATACTTATTTGTGTGACAAATCTCATTTTGATATTCTAATTTATCAACCTTTCTTGTAAAGTTAAAAAACACTTGATACCAAAATACAAATAGTTATTCCCTTCTTTAAGATATTTCTGAAGCATCTTTATGTATTTCCAATTTAATCCAGCAAAACTGAATCATTTTTAAATGAATAGCAAAACTGACTACTGAAATATTGCAAAGTTACTTCTGGATTGTACTGTCTTCTCTCAAGTCTCAGAGGCTCCATGGTGTTCATCCCAAAGAACCTGATGTCATGGCCAGTGGAGACTGAGTGTTTTGTATCGGCTGATGGTCCTCTGAAGCAGGGGCCCTCAAACTTTTTAAACGGGGCCAGTTCACAGTCCCTCAGACCGTTGGAGGGCCATTGGAAAGTGCGGCGCACATTCCACACATGCGCACTGTGGGCCTGGGACAAGTTGGCTGCTAAGCAAGACAGGCAGCAGTGGCAAAAACAACTGGTGGGCCGTATGTGGCCCACGGGCCATAGTTTGAGGATGCCTGCTCTAAAGGAACTGCATGTCCCTCACACACTCAGGGTTAGGTAACATAAATCTGAGTTCAGCTGCATGGCAAGGGGGACTGATTATGGTTTCTAGTACCTGGAACGATCTGTGGTGTGGTATGACTGAAGGACACCAACAGGTCAAAGTGTGTCACAGTAGTTGATCCATATCTGTGCAAGAACTGTGTAAGTGAAATGAATGGGGCCCATCACTTAGCTGGGGGTTGCCTAGGAAACACTAGGACCAGCTCTAGACTCACACCAATTCCAGGATTTCCAAAAGCAGGATATATTTTCTGTGAATTGTTTCCCCTCACAAATCAGAGTAATCACGTATAGTCGTATGAGTCGAGCTCTGCAGGAAGATGAGTGTGAGCTGAGATCCAGTTTGTGTTTGACCTGCCAGCAGCTCACCCGAGATGGGGCTACAGCAGGCAGAGGGGTGCCTTCATTCTACTTAGCATGAAGATGGCCAGTGGCATCTCTGTCACCAGCTCTGCATCTTAAATCCCTGCTAGAGAAGCTGGAACTACTTGGTAAGGTAGGAATACTGGCTTAATTAGAGTCAACAAGTGGCAGGCTGAGGACTTAATATTAGCCATCTGAAATCCTCAAGAATGGGTTTTGTGGATTGCAGTGGTTTCAGGATGCAGCTGCCTAGCCAAACTTGAAGTAATTTCATGTGCTATTGGGACACTTCACACCAGCAGAAAGAGAATTAAAATGAAGCTATGTAAGGAGGTTTTAGAAAAGAGAAATAATGCCCATAAAGCTTAGCCCCTTTAAACAGCTAAACATTGTATTAAATGGTAATTTTTAAAAAATACACACACACTTTCCTGTCTTCTTAAACAGATTATAATTGGGCCTAACTAAATATTTTCTTGACTCTCGCTGTGGTCACTTCAGGGCCCATCGAGGCAGACAGCCCCTACACCACTATGCCCTGCCTCGTTCCCTAAAGATGCCAACGTGCCTGAGCAGCCACTCCCCATTAGATGAAAACCCCAGCACAGGGTCATCGTTAGCTGTGTAATCACCAGTTTTAGGTGGCACTTTTGATAAAACCAACCTGTAAGTGCCATCTGAGGATAAATTAAGGCTTTGCTTTTTGTCAGAGCCAGTCAGATTTTGTTCGTCACAGGATTTAAGCTAAGGGTAATATTCATAGATAGCTTTATGAATCATACAAACAAGGTCCTTAATCTTTAAAAGTGACTGAGGATTTAATAAAAACTACTACTGAAAGGAAAAGAAGACATTCTTACCCAAGCCCTCGATGGCAGTATTTCCTTCGGAACTGGAATACGTTCTGAACGACTTTTTCCACCAGCTTGAATGGCTGCTGTATCTTGGGCTGTACCAAGGGAGTGAAGTGTACCACGCCCACATCCACCTTCATTGTAAGCAAACATACATCGTTTTGTCGCAGGACATGTGGCATAAGCTGATTAATCAACTTATCTTTGTAAACACAAGAGGGTGGGCTGTCAAGAGCATGGTTTTCATAAACAAACCTTTCCATGTACTTCCCTTTCAGCCGTCTCCTGGCATGTACCATGTCCCACTTTGGATTTGAGATGACAGAGAAATCACAGTTGGCTTCATCTGTTCTACAGTGCCACCCACCAAACCTGTGCTTGCTGATCACGTAATTTTGAAATGCAGTTTTACAATGGCCTTTTACAATCAATTCAAATAATCATTAAAGTCAGTAGGCAGAAAACAAATAGCATTAGAATATTTTAGTTAGCTTTTGGATGAGTAAAGAAAGAGGCTACAGCAGCAGCTCCATTAGGCAGGACTTCAAAACAGAGAGAAGGCAGACAGCCTCAGGGACTACTTAGTGCTCAACTCCCCAGAAATGAAATCAATTAGGACACCACTTATTTGGGTTTGACACTGATTAATCAGCCAGACTGAATTCACCAGAGGAGTCTGCACAGCCACATAACTTTCTGGTAGCAACTGTAAATGTCCCAGAAGGTGCAGGCAGGAGTGACACTGAAAATGGAACCACCAAAAAATATCACTGTTTGATGGCATTTAAGTTGCTACCAGCTGTGGAGAATCTTTAATTATCAGCAGATAAAACTTTTCAGGCATATCTGATACAAGATTTATATCGTGCCTTATTCTGAAAATGGACTCATGGTGATTCATGAGGATACACTCAAAATAACAAAGGAAAAATACTGAAAGTAAAGACAAAGGGAGAAATGGAGTCCCAACAGCCCACACAAAAATGCTGACAGAGATCATGGTCTAGGAAATGGGAAGTCTCTTCATAATTGACAAAAGCATTAGTCTTGAGAAATTGTTAAACTTGCTACTCAGACATCATATAGACTCTACTTAGGCTAAGAAAGTAGCAATTTAGTGGACTGTAGTACTGCATTTCAAAAGGAATTCTACTTTAAAATCCCATAGAGGTTATCATTTGCTCTTGGGAGGACTTGCTTCTAAAGATCCTTGTGGTTACATAACTCCTTAAAAATGCCCTGTAATATATAAGGATAGGAAAGTTTTTTGTTGGACTTTTAGGGTAGTGAAAAAGTAACTGTATATAATGGGGGACTCGGTGGACAAGAGAACAAAGTGAAAATGACTGAAGAGGTGCTCAGTCAGGCAGCCAGAATAGGTATTAGGAGGAGCCAGCAGGGTGTCCCCTGCAGGCCAGCTGACCCACCAGGCCAACCCCCATGCCCCTCCTCCTTGAATAATCACTGAGCCTGCCCTCAGAGGTTTCAGATTAGCTACCGCTACGCCTACTGGATGTAACTGGAAATAGAAGACTTTGATTGTAGGGCTGGTGTGGGCTGGCACACGCGGACAATGTTCTCAACAGCAGGGTGAGAACTGCTGGTGGAGAGGCCTTTCCACACCAAAAATGCCCCCTAAATGTCCATCAGCCCTCAGACTATTTTAGCCAAGTTCTATGGCAGAACAGTAGTTATGAATAGTGATTACCTAACTATAATGTTAAACGCTCTTAATACTTTTAATAAGTTTTTTGAATTATATCCTATATTTGGCTTTATCAGTTTCTTCAAGTTCAGTAACAACTACTTCCTGTAGGATTCTAAGTACTATAGGACTTTCCTTAGACCTTAACAAGTCAAACCACAGAGCAGGGGCCAGCAGTCGTGGAAGGGTTTGTGGTCACAGAGAAGAGAGAGACTGGATAAGACCAAGGGCCTGCGGAGGTAGCACAGCCGTGCTCCTGTCCCACCTAAACCCCGAGTAGTAAACCACTCGGAGTTTAGGTGGGACAGGAGCATGGCTGGAGGAAGAGAAGAAAAGGCTTCACAGGAGGGCAGTTCTGGGGGAGGAAAAAGAAGAACTGGTCTATGAGTCGGGGAGAGTAGAAGAAGCTGTCCAAGACACACTATGATGACTTTAAATGTCAAAGACTCCTTCCTCCAAAATGAAATGTCCATCTCACCTTGCTTCCTCCTGATTTGGGACAGAGAAGTGGCTCTGTCAGGAAGGTTCTCAACCACTGTCTAGACCTCGCCCACCTTGTCACTCTGACTCTCCATGCCTTTCTCACCCTCTGCACTCACTGGCTCTCATTCTGCTACCCTCCAGAACTCATCTCCATCCCTTCCACTCCAATCCTCCTAATTACACGGAGTCAACTCTAATAAGAATTCTTCTGCAGTTACCAGGTGGGATCCAACAGCCGCTTAGTCTCCAGAGAAAAAAATCTTTTAGCAAAATTTGACATAAAATTTAACCCCTACCTAACATCTAAACCCATGAAATACTATAAAAATTTTACATTAAGTTTTAATAAATAATATTAAGACTAAAGGCACAGAGATAAAAGCACTTTCCTTCCAGTTCAAAAACTGCCAGTTCCAGCTTCCTTAGATTTTTTTCATCTATCTCTGTCTGTCTGTCTATTTATTTAGAGACAGGGCCTTGCTCTGTCACCCAGGCTGGAGTGCAGTGGTAGAATCATAGCTTATTGCAAACTTGAACTCCTAGGCTCAAGCGATCCTTCTGTCTTGGTCTCCTGGGTAGTGGGAACTACAGGCATGTGCCACCATGCTGAGCTAATTTTTAAATTACTTTTTTGTAGAGACAGGGTCTTGCTATGTTGCCCACACTGGTCTCAAACTGCTGACCTCAAGTGATCCTCCTGTCCCGGCCTCCCAAAGTGTGGGATTACAGGTGTGAGCCACCATGCCTGGCCAGATTTTAAATTTCAGCGTCATCTTTATTTGCCTGATTGCCTTAATTCCTTTGCGATATAGCTGGTGCTTGCAAATATTAAGAAACGCCTAATGTTTGTTTTATTTAAAGATTTAAAACCCTGAACAAATATAGTAGTACCCCATGTAAACTGTAGCAGTAGACTTCTAAAGTTTAAACACAATCCTGACACCCAGTTAAGTTGGTTCACATTATAGGTAATAGGTGAAAGAAAATTCCCACTCACAAATACAGTTACTATTTAGTGAAGGACTCTATAAAACTCATGTGTCCAAAAAGCTCTTTCAGTAATGCTTCCTGCTTCTGGGGTGGGTGGTACCCCTCCTATACCACTCTCTCTTTTCTCCCTTCCCCTAAGAGCACTTTTCAAAATTACTCAGAATGATGGAGCCCATTTTCTCTAGAACCACAGGAAAGCTGCTTGGTAACTATGGTAACACATACAAAAATGCTTTTTACTTATAATTGAATGCTTATTTAAAATTATAACCATTATTTTTCCTTCCTTGAGTTTTAAGTCTATTAATGGGGTTGATTATAAAAAAGAAATCAATATAAAGGCATTAGAAGTATTTAAAATATTCTAATTCAATACTGCCAGCCCTTTTCCAAACAATCTATCAGTACACCAAAATGACCTACTAAAGTTTCAAATGAAGGGACTTATAATGAATTTAAATATTTGCCTCTCTAGCTCTACATGTCAATGCTGCACCAAACTGAGACTGTTTCTCAATGTTAGCAGCCTTGGCCACAAGCCCAAGGTGTCTACGACATCACTGATTATCAACTCAGAGCAGCACTTAGAACTCACAAGGGACCCTGGGTAAGAAGATATTAAATCTTAGATGTTACTACAACTCAGAACTCTAATCAACATGATGTATGGGGGACATTGAAGAATGTACAACTCAGTTCTTGACAACCAGAAAACACCAAAGAGCTGAATCACTACCATGTGAAAAGACACAGAAACAACAGTGGCCACTGGGTCTTCATTCAGCACTCTCATGGTGTTCCACAAGACCATTAAAGGACAAGACAGTGGAGAAAAAGGATGATGAGGAAGTTACTATTTAATCAGCCAAGATGCAGCTGTAACAGGGAGACAAGAGAAGAGCTGTGAAAAAAAAAGAAAGACGAATCTTTAAGCATCAAGAACAAAATAAGGAGGATTCAAAGTTCAACGTGTTATTATCAGGGAAGACTTGGGTAGTCAGGAACAGGAAGCATATGGCTGGTTTGGAGGCTGCTAGCACCACGTGATGGAACAGAGGAGGATAGGGACTTGGGAGAGTCATGTTCAGTGTCAGGTGAAACAACAGAGAAAGATGAGCACCTCAGAGGGCTCGGTTCCTCCACCCTCTAGTGTCTACTTATTCTGCAAGTGCCTACACCAAGCTAATGACAGTCCCCTTTGAACATCATAGGCCTCCAGGTTATGACTTCCCCAGGTAAGGATAACCCAGGTGAGGGTGTCAAGTCACCGATGCCTATGATATAATTATGTATTTTGTAGAAAAAGAAAATACTGACAAATGTGAATGAAGATCAATTTTTCTAGAATTGGTTTATTCTTCCTGTGATCCTTGTCCCAAACCCAATTTAAGGGCAGAATTTCAGTTGTAAAACCTTAAAATTTTGAAAGCATTCTAGGTATTTGAAATCAATGTGTTCAACAAAGATTGACTATACTATCAGTACATATATATCTTTTTTAAAGTTTATAATTTGTGTTAATGTTACAATATTAATTTCTGCAGAAGTTCTATCCCACCCCTTTTATCTTCCTATAGACCTTTTGTTTTTTTTCTCTTTCTCCTTGGAATCATAAAAAAAAGAGAGAGAGAGAGAATGGATTTAAACAGTCACTTAGTGTTTCCTCTCAGAGCATAAGCAGTAGGAATAATTGAGGCTGAGAGAATGACAGTGAGCTTAGGCTGCGATTAGAAATAGGACTAAGAAAAGCCCAGGGTGAGGGGAAGAGTTGGAGAGAGAGAGTTTTTACTGTGTAAATTATGTATGTAAATGTATATATGTATGTATGAAAATTATACCCATTAGTAATAACAAGATGAGTCAGTGTCTCTTGGTCCCAAGAGAAGAAACAATTTCTTTCCTCAAAAAAGTGCAAGAGGAACAGGAATTAACAAACATTGGATTAAGATTTTCTGT